CCAGCTCCCAGGCTTCCTATACAGAATTGTTAAAGATTTTTCTATTTATATTCAGAAGACAGGAAGCACAGATACAATACAATGCTGATTTGTTTAAATATAACGAATCCTGCAAGCAGCTCTGTCAAAAATCTAAAATGCCCTTGCAAAAATGAGGAGCAAGTGCCGTATTACAGACCACAACAGGGTTTGTCACTTGCAGAGGCAGGAACACTGACTTTAGATTTGATGGGTTTAAATTTTGATGACTGCCCTGCTGACTAAGGCTGGGACTGGCAAAGGGCTGAATTCTTTCAAGCCCTGGCTTTCAAAAGGAGTTTAAAGAGCCCGGCCCTTCCCAGGATGCAGCCCTGGAAGCAGAGACATCAGACTGGTTTGGGATTTATCCAGCTTGAGCGCAAGATTTGCCCAGTTATTGACTTAACTTGAAAGTGCTTGGTTTGGTTTTTTTTTTTTTCTAATTGAGTATTTGTTCTAAATGAGAGCTAGCTTGGGAGTTTCAGCTGACTCCCGGCATATCCAAGTGATCACATCTCTTGTTTACACAAGCACATGGTATTCCCACTGTGGTCTTTTAACCTTTTTCTATGATCTGGGTGCAGCAGCAACTCGGAGAATGCAGAAACGGCGTGTGTGTTGTGCCTTGCTTTTTTTGTTTGCTGCTTTTTCCTCAAAATACTAATGTGCATTTTATTTATATGGCTTCTTCATTTGTTATCATTTAAACATGCAGCCACGTCAATGCAGATGCCTGAATCATCTCTAACATTAGGTCTGTGTTTGAAAAAACAAGCCAGAAATCCTCAAGGAAAATCTAGTTTCAGTGGTGTTAGGGCAGTTTCTGCCTTTTTTTTTAACTTATTTTTTTTTGTGGCTTTTTAATGTGCTGAAGTACTTAACTTCTCTGATACATCACAGTGTATGGTTTAACGTTAAGTGAAGCTCCTGGAAATCCTTCTGCTGGGGAAGATGCAGTTGTGGTTGGATGGAGTGAAGAGTGGCAGCAGTCACAGCGTCTGGCGACAGCAGAGTGTGTGCCTCTGGTTTGGTCTGGAAAGCTGCGTGTGTTTTACTCGCGCTGTTTGTTAAATCCCAGACCAGTCCGACACCGCTGCTCCCGTGGCTGCATCCTGGGAAGCGCTGGGCTCATAAAAATTCCTCTCCTTTGCTCAATACGATAGTAAAAGAAAACAAAGAAGCTTTAGAGACCTAATGCTGGAGAAATTACTTAAGCACAACTACACATATCTTGCAGGGAAATTAATATTAATCTTCTAAATACTCACGCATATGTAAACTACCCTGCTATGTCCATGGGGGTAGTTGCAATGTGTGAAGTGAAATAGAGTGAAAGTCAAAATCTGGTCGTGGCAGAACTGGGCCAATGGTGCATTTTGATATATCCGTGTTTAGCAACTAGAGTGCAAAGTAATTTTGACTTCAACCTGTCTCAGGGGTCGTAACTGGCTTACAGGTCAGGCTTGGTGTATTGCGTTCCTGGGTCCATTCCTGGCAAACCTGTGAGAGGGAGGAGAGCTTTCATGGGGCAAGATGAATTCCCATGATTCGGGCTTGATATATTTGGTATAGCAGCAGCCTGCAGCTTGTTACAGCACCTGGTTAATTTTCTGTGTGGTTCTTGGCATTATTTTGAAGAGTAGGAGAGATTCCAGCGTGCAGGTTGGTTTCCGTGTGGGGCAAGTACTGAAGCAGTTGGAAACGAGCTCACCAGCTTTGCCACACGAGGGCACAGGCATCACTGGGAGCTAGTCTAGACTAGAGCAGTGGCCCAAGACATGTTAGTGTTCTCTTTGCTATAATTGTGTACTAGTCGAAGTATTTTGACATGTTTCTCGTTGTTTTGGCAGCTTTCCTGCTGTAAAATATGCTTTGCTAATATACACAAAATCTGTTTTTATCTATTTGTTTTGTCTTGAATTCATTAGGAAATATATGTTTGCTCAAGTGAATTTTCCTTTGTAGCTGGGAGTTCCGATTTCCCTGTCGGTTCATGCTGGTGTCTGCTTTACGTGCGTATACATCAGGTGGTAGTAAAGCGGACATTTCTCCAAAATAAATGTGTGCTTCTCTTCATGCAGTTCAAACACACAGCTGCTCTTCGGATGGGAATGCTCTAAAAATACCATGGAAAGGCTGAATTTGACCCTGAATAATACAATCCTAGCAGGGAAAGTTACTTCAGTTGACATGTAAATCATTAAGATTCTTGTTTATACAATCTAAATAAAAAGCCAAGGAATCTAAGGGCATAAGGCCTTCACGTTGCAAAGCACTGCGTGTGTTTTTACCAATATGTGCACGTTGGAAAGGAATGGGACCATTCAGCTGCTTCTGTTTCAGCTGAAACGATTCGCTGCCTTGGCTGGAGGACTGAGCGCTCCCAGAACGCTTGCCTTGCAGCACCTGACACACAGGTTCTCGCTTTTTTTGTCTTGTCCATCAATCTTCACCCACACACAGATGTAAAGAAAAGGGGAAATGTGTTTTAGAGTGTTTACAGCTATATACTCCTACTAGAACTGTGGGGTTTTTGTCTGTGATTCTTAAAATCAGTAGCTTCATACTGAAATAAAGCTATTAAGTAATAGATGAGCATTAAAATATATCTTTTCTTCTAGCCTGAAACTTTTGAGCATCTTTTTATCAAGCGCCCTGAAGCAATGTCATTTGAGCCGCTTCTTCTGGAACCAGAAATAGTGCTGGAAGACATCAGTGTTACCAAAGTGTTGAAAGAAGACGCGGAAGATTTTTTAGTAATTGATTCAATGTTTACAAAAATTCCAGACTCTGAACATGACTCTGCCTGTTCTAGCAGCCATTTCGATCAGAGCGGCTTCTCTGAGAGCTCCCGCGATGACCAAATCAGAGGAGACAGTACAAGGCAGTCTGATATTAAATACGCCAGCGTTATCAGTAACTGCGGATCCAGTGGGCTTTGCAAACAGAAAATGAGCCTAAGAAGTTGTTTGGATCAACGCTTCCTAGCTGAAGATCCTTTAGTTACAGGCGCCTTCTCCAGGAGCTCCTGGGAGGTGGGAAACGGGGCGTTCCTCATATTAGCTGACCTGCCAGGCGGGCAGCCCAGCAAGACTCTTTCC